CTCTCTCTCGCTCTCTCTCTTCTCTGTGCCCTCTCTCTCTCCAATAAAGTTAGTCATTAGTACCTTTTTCAGCAATAAGAAATAAAGTTGAAAGCTGTGTCTTTCCTCATGAAAGTTTTTGATGATTTCAGAATGCAGCCTGTGCTGTTTGAATGGATTTTTTAAATATCAAATCTTTTTGCAGCTTGATCAATTCAAAGTATTCCATCAGTCGTGATGAAAGGACAGCCGAAGCGTTTCATGTCAGAGGCATCCTAATCTGTCCTTTTATGAATACGTCTCCCTGTCATGTATAAAGCTTTCGTGTTCACAGTTCCTCCCCCGAAGGACAGCTAATCTCTGAGGATGCAGCTTGTTCGTCCTCCGGGGGTCCGCCGGCCGCAGACCTTTGCTGTCTCACGTGGAGAAAGTTCTGATGAAACAACACAGACACTTTATAAAATGTGATGACCCAACTCAATGTCCTTCATCTCCTGCGTACCAAATGCTGATTTCAGCTTTCACCCCCGTTAATGTCACGATTTCCTAATGATCCTCTGCCACACATTAATGCTGAACTCTGGGCAGACGGATGCAATACATGTATGGGAGCTGGCAGGGCGAGACACCTTATTTTTTTTTCTGCTGCAGTTCAGTGACGCTTACAGGTCATTTTCCTACCCTAACCTGCGACTCCACAGTAAAAGGAGATGCATCAGACCAATGAGCTCATCTCTTTGTCACTTTGCTCTGTCCCCCTATCAGCATGTCTCTTATTAGCACATGAGCACTGCAGCACATCTCATTGGCTTCTTGTGCTGGTTCTCCCTCCCCCACTCTGAGATTTGCTGTGCAGGGATTGCAAGAGGCTGATACCAGCACAGGTGTTGTAAAAGACAACTAAAGTCTCCCGTATGACATAAAAAACAATCACCAAATCAATTTACTATGTGATGCACACGCCTGATAAAGTAAACAAAAAAAACTTCCTTTACCTTCTTGAATGAGCCAAATCCTCCTTTATTTGTGTCTTACACGCTTCCCCTCTCACACTGCAGCTCACAGTGGGAGCGCTTCAACAGAGAAAGTGCTGTCAATCCAGAATGCAGAGGGCTGGACCGGGTGCATCCAGCTGCTTATTCACAAGTACAATCAACATTGACAATGCTGATAGCCATGCTTCCTGTAACATCTTCTTATCTCACGCAGGCACAGCCTGAAGACTCTGCTCTGAATTCAGGAGCAGTGCAGCATTGTTGCCACCCCCTCACAGGAAGCTGCATTGTGTGATAAAAGAAAACTGTATGTGCCGATGAACTTAACTGAATGAATTGATTAATAATAACATAGACACGTCAGGTGTACAATGCTGTGATTGTGAAACACTTACACTTGCAGAACATTCACTTCCTGCTTTGAAAGGGCAAAATGACTTCAGTTTGCCAAAGCAATGCACACTGGGATTGCCTTGTCATCAGCAGAGCATTGCTGGAAAATCTCATCTGTAAGATCTGAGGGAAGGGCATTTTCCTCCCCTGAGATGATGTGCATGGTCACATGTCCTAGTCACAGTAATCTAGGAAGTAATAGGAGAGCTAGTAATCTGCCCTTAGCAAACATGGCCACTGTCAGAAGACTGGAAGAAAAGAGAAATAAGCAATGCAAAGAATACAAAGCCGGCAATCATCTAGAAGTATGTGTTTGTAGATTGTCATTAGTAAACATTTCTAAAGGTGTGTTTGTTGTTATTTTGAGGATTTGGGTAAAGGTCCGCTTTAAGTGTTGCAGCACTTTTATTTTTGTTTATGAGAGGCCATACTTCAACTTTTTATTGCCCTCTTGCTCATATCAGAGCTCTCCAGTAGTCTCTGGATAGCAGCTGCAAAAACGTTTGAAGGTAAAATTGGTTCCTAAACAGTCTCTAGAATTCATGAAAGTGTTGCATCGTGCAGCCGCACAACAAATGTTGCTGCTTGCCCCAGGTTCATCTACATGTTGGAAATGGGTAAATTAATTTGGTTCACGCACAGCCATTGGCAGCTGTAGTGTCCATATGCTGTCAATCACAAGGGAGCCAGTCCCTCGGAGTTCAGGTCCCCTCCACTGTCTGCATTATTGGTTGGTTATCCATCCATCAGCCATCTTCGGCCCCATTCAGCTCCAAAAGGTGTGGGGCATGCTGGCTGACATTACTACCCAAATATAGCCATGACCATATTCGGCCATGACCGTATTTGGGTCATGTCAGCCAGCATCCCCGGCCCCATCCTTTACATTCAGCTACTGGCTGGGGAGTCTCCCTGGCAGCAGCTGACTGGGGTCCGGGATGTGGAAATATTACTACAACACCTTTTTATGACCACTTCCCAGCACATACATGCCCCACTCTGAGCACTGGCGCATCTCTGTATGCCAGATCAGAGTTGGCCCTAATTGCCGCCAATTTCCTAACCTGTAAACCCGGCGATAATTCTTTTTTTTTTTACTTATCACAGACATAGTGACAGGTCCTTAAATTGGTGGTAATGAGAGCTACCTGAATCTGTCACATGTTGGAACTGCAAATGAAAATGTCACATTAATTAGATACAGGGAGGGGAATTTATCAAAATTGGAGCAGACAAAATCGGGAGCAGCCGTGCATGGCAACCAATCGGCTTCTCTCTCATCTTCAAATCTTAACTGAACAAACTTGAAGGGAGAAGCTGATTGGTTGCCATAGGCAACTGCTCCAGATTTTGTCTGCTCCAGCCCCCCCCCCCCCAAATAAAGCACGGGTGGGCAAACTCTGGCCCTCCAGCTGCGATTTAAACTACCAGTCCCATCATGCATCTGCCTCTGGCAGTCAGGGACTTACACTTCCTAATGGGATTTGTATTTGCTCCACAGCTGGAGGGCCGGAGTTTGCCTTCCCCTGTTTTAAAGGAACTCTCCCGACAATAAAAGTATCCAACATGCTTTGTTGAATTCCCCACAATGTGTCTGGATAGATTGAGACCATCCTTTCTTTCCTGATTGACTGGAACTATTCTATATACTATACTATAAATAATTCCAGCCAACGGGGAAAGGATGAAGGGGGCACAAGAAAGTAAAGTGGGTTTGTACACAGAGTATCCCAGCTGCTATCTTTGCCACCAGAGAGGGAGACAACATCCTCTGCACAGTTGCTGTTAGATGGGACAGGGGATATCATGGCAGATCTTGCCCAGAGTTTGGATTTAATTCCTAATTATGAACGTCATCCTTATCATTTATAAAATGTTCTAGGCGACCGCGGCGTCAATGTCGCAGGAAAAATGATGTAGGTGGCCGCGGCGTCAATGTCGCAGGAAAAACGATCTGTTACAACATAAAAGACGCCAAAACCTGCAGCCAGATTTTTGGGCTGAATAGAAGGGAAGCTCAGCCGGGAGACACGGTGGTGAGATATGCAGCAAAAATCTTAGCGTGCAGAAATTCCCATGAAATCGGTCTTTTCCTGACCGCCAATGACGCCATTGTGTTTTGTGTCGCCCTGATGTAAATAAGCCCGGGGCCTGACAATAACGAGTGCCGGGGGGAGGGGGAAGCTGATCTTTCTATGACATCAGCCGATAAGAATGGAGTGAGGTCAGCCCTGGCTGCAGATCGGGTCCCTGCCTGCTTAACCCCTCGCTGTCACATCTCCCTGCAATCCCAAACGTCTCCCTTTCTGGTCTGTGCATGAGAAGGGTCTGGACATCTGATACCCAGAAATCTCCCATTCACGGACCTGGATGTAAAATCCTTCTATCTGTACACAGAGGGAGACATGAGGCATTCTGTGCACATTACTGGGAAGTCCTTAGAGGAGAATCATCACATTGGCGTGATGTGGAAATTCCAAATGAAAGGAAATGGAAACCCTAAATTGAACGATGTTTAGTTGGCTAAAGTACTGAGTATCGTAAACAATTGCCTTTTTTTCTGCATCCTTCACTGTATCTGAGTGCTGCTATCTCCTGCACTGGGGGCAAAAGTTTTGATGAACAGATGTAAGTCCTAACTGGGTGGCATTTAGTTTGCTTTGTATACTGTGTATCATAAACAATTGTCACTGTTCTTTTTTAATAAAATCTTGTAGTCACCCTTTGTTACATCTCAGCGCTGCTGCCGCCTCTTTGCAGACACTTCCTGTCTACATGCACTCCAATGATGGCTGCATGGGATTTCTCAGGGCAGGTTTCCTGATGGTGACAACAGTGAACTATGGCTGCGTAATGTGTGCTGAAACAGCCACTTGTAGTCCTGAAGCCCATGTGACAGGGTGACAATGCAGCACAATTGGAACACAGGACAGAGTGTTGTCACCCTATAACAGGATGTGCCTGAACAAGGACCTTCATGGCAGGATCACAGGGGGTTATTTTAATGGAAGATCCATGACAATAACTAGCATTTTAAACCTATATGAGATTGTAATGATTGGCTATACATCTGATTTATATAAAAACACACACTCTGGCTGGCGTCCCGCCCAGCCCCTGGCAATCATTGGCGTCACTGGTTGCTTGGAGCTGAGCAGGATGGTCTGGCTGGCGTCCCGCCCAGCTCCTGGCAACCAGTGACACTCTCACTATTTGCCAGATGATGCAAAGGCCACACCACTGCCTTGAGAGCCCCCCCCTCCCCTTACAGCGTGCATCACACACACACGCCACCCGGTGAGGTCATTTACTTCATTCATCCAATCGTGTACAATACAAACTATTCCCGTTTCTGTAAATCTCCTTTTGCGCACTCTGTCGGGTATTCAAAGCTTCAATTATGACATTTCTTTGTTTTTATTTTAAAACGGAATCGGATATAGAATCGATTTCTTGCATTCTAGCCTCGCTCACCTCTCCTCCGTCTTTCTCGCAGGTCTACTGAGCGGTCAGACCTCCCCACCCAACGTCCGCCTGGAGCGTCTCGACTCCCCGCAGGTGCTGCAGCTGTGTGTGCGTTACCAGGATCACCTTCACCAGTGCGCTGAGGCGGTGGCTTTCGACCAGAACGCGCTGGTGAAACGTATAAAGGAGGTGAGCGGTACGAGTGGTGAAGAGTGCAGGAGGGCGAATACAACTGATACAAGGGAAGGTATTACCCTGTTTCCCCGAAAATAAGACCTACCCTGAAATTAAGACCTGGTACCATTTGTGGGAATTGCTCAAATATAAGACCTACCCCGAAAAAAAGACCTAGTTGTGACCGATCCCTGGGCCGGTGGTGGCATAAGGGGGAACTTGAAGAGCCGCGGGAGAGAATCAGCGGTGCCAATGAAGCCAGCACTAGAGGAAACGAGGCGGCATCGGATGGAGCAGAGCCGCATAAGCCGAGGCTTCCTCTATAGCGCCGTCTCCTGTCACAGGCGGAGTCATACCAAATGCACTCCGCCTGTGAGGAATCGATAGTGAAAGCGCACTTCGCTCATTCTGGTTACCAAATTGCTCTTGGAAACGGATAGCACCCCTGATTGCCCTGATCACCATATTCTTAACTTTGCCATTTTGGATTATTTAATTTGATTTGCATTAACTTTGGATTGTTGTACATTAAAAAAAATAAAATAAGGCCTAGTGTGTTTTTTGAGCCACAAAAAATATAAGACAGTGTCATATTTTCGGGGTGCTGATCCCATTCACCCAGTGCTGATCTGTAGATATGTATTCCATGCGGGCAACACACTCGTATTTGTCAAGTCGCTGTCGTTTCTTATACTACATGTGACGGCAGTCTTTGCATTGAACTCATCATATGGGAGCGCATGAATGTTCTCTTCAGGGCAGAGCTCAGGCAGGACCACAACAACAGCGCTGTGAAGAGGCCTGTCACTGCCCAGACTCCTTGTGCCAGTCATTGGGCAGAGGCGGTAATGGGAAGGACGGCCAGAGTACATAGTCATTTGCTTCATCCACCACCAGCAGCAGAATATTGATGGCCTATGTGAGTTTCTTTACGCAGGCAGCCATAGCGGCGGCCTCTATAAAGATTAAGTGCAGAGACAGTGACGGGATGAGGATGACGGCTTGGAGTCTGCACCTTTTTAAAAGCAAGTCAGCAAAAGCAGCTCAGATCTTACTGTGCTCATAGGTCCCCTTTTAAATTGCGCCTCATTGAATTTTGGGGGTCGGGCATCTGCTGATGGAACTTTTAGTGCATATTATAACTGTATCCATCTTCTCTTGCTCACGTTGCAGATGGACGCCTCCGTGGACACCCTGTACAGCTACATGCAGGAACGCCAGAAGCGCTTCGCCAAGTACGCCGAGCAGATCCAGAAGGTGAACGAGATGTCGGCCATTTTGAGACGGATTCAGATGGGGATTGATCAGACAGTGCCGCTGATGGAGAAGCTTAACGCCATGCTGCCCGAGGGCGAGCGGCTGGAGCCATTCTGTATGAGTCCAGACAGGGAGCATAAACCTTAAAGGGTCGCAACTGTTTATCACGCCAGAGGAAAGCGAGTGAGGTCATTGCTGGGTGACGGGCAGACTGAACTCTCACCCGGCTGTTAGATCCTCCTAAGAAGACGCAAACTTGAAGACGCAGAATCACCGGCCGGCACTACTACTATGAACTTCTAGGCCTTAAAAGTGCTGCACATGTGTTGGGCAGTTGGACTAAACAGTGCAAGACATAAGTAGGACCTTTGTACCTGTCTGAAAGAGGTTCTAAAGGGGTCCTGGAACTATAAATATTGGAGCTGCCTGTGTCTGGGGCTGTCATCCTGAGAGTATAAATATTGGAGCTGCCTGTCATCCTGATACAGATGATCATCCTTATCCTGGGTGTATAAAATTATTGGAAATGCCATCCTGACTTCACTATTTAGTGGGTCACTGATCTGGGCAAGTATGCAGAATGGGAGCTCAGACTTTCATACTTCACTGGCTGCATGCTTGTTCCAGTACAGTGATTGGCTAGTTAATGGAGGTGGCTGGATGATGGCAATCTCACCAGCCAAGCGTCATTGCTTGCTGGTCTCTTGGTGGCCTTTGTCTTGGGCTAAATACTATTTCTGCACTGGAGTAAAGCCGTCTGATCTACACAGTTCTGTTGTAAATCCCCCCCAGTCCTTTCCCAGAGACCCCAGCAGCTGGTATCGATGGGCTGAGAAATATACGCAGCCCATAGACGGGATGACTCTATGTCCAATGTGACGTTCAGTTGTGATAATCAGTTGATTGCAGTCCATTAAAGTAGACTTCTGGGGGGAAATGTATTAACCCTTGCAGTGGAGCTGCTCCCACAACACGCACTGCAAGGGTTAACTGCTCATTTTTGTCTAAGGAGGTGGCCGGCTGTGACGGCGCTCCCTCCAGTCTGTCTCCTATTCCGCTGCAGCGATGGTATGTCCCTCATTGTCCTCACATCCTATACAGTGTGTATAAAATGTGATGTCAGGGACCTTAAACAGCTGCAGCGGAAGGGGAGAGAGGCTCCAGGAACCAGTCTAAGAGCCAGCCAGCTCCGAGGATCGGATATTATTGTATAGACATGGGCAGCAGGAATATCTTATGGGATGACATAGACATGGGCAGCAGGAATATCTTATGGGAGGACATAGGCAGCAGGAATATCTTATGGGATGACATAGACATGGGCAGCAGGAATATCTTATGGGATGACATAGACATGGGCAGCAGATATATTGTGGCATCTGCTGCATCCCATCAGATCGGAATGACAAACGCATTTGCAGAATATAATTTGTCAGTTGGAGATGATTTGCATATTTTGCAATGTGGTTGCATGTTTGGGGACGGTCTGCAGGTCTTTGTTTATTCGGCACAACAAAAAACAAGTCCCCTGGCACAGCCAGCCAAATCTCTGGAAGCCCCTCAGTTGACCTTCGAACTCCCATTTGGCTCCTGAAGTCCAAGCTCCTCTGTGTTGTATAATTAATGACGGGGAAGCTGCCACATGATCTGCTCTACATATTACCGAGGGGGGAGGGCGATTG